TGACGTATATACTGACGTCATTGTTATGACGTTCAAAATAACGTCAGATTTAGGTCATAATCACCAATTAGTGACAAAAATCACGTATATTTACATCATTACAACGTCAGCTGGTTGCTTGGGATGCGTTGATTATTCGTGAGTTTCTCGTCACAAAAACAACACCAATACCATTCAACAACCGCCCAATTCACCTGATCTGGCACCATGTGACTTCTTCCTATTCGATCGACTCAAAAAACCACTACGAGGAACTCGTTTTGAGTGTGGAGGCAATAAAGCTAAAATCGCTGGAGGCACTAATGGCTATACCAAAAACCGACTTCCAGAAAAGCTTCGAGGGGTGGATCAAACGCTGGCACAAGTGCATCGCAGCCGACGGGGACTACTTTGAAGGGGACAACTTGAATTTTGAAGAATAAACATGTACTTTTCTTTTTATGAATAAATTCCGGTTATTTTTTGATCATGGTAGTATTACACTATATTCATTTATCTATATACATAATAATCGCGCAAAAAATATTGTTTGTGTACAAAGTAGTCATTCTTATCTCTATAAATATTTTGTATTTATTTTTATAAATATTTCCTACATAAATTTAAGTTTGCGATATAAAACAGTTTTTAAGAAGCTTAGAATCAACATGTTGCACATTTAACATTAGAATGTGATACAACAAATTGTAAATTATCATTAAGAGTGATTATATTCAGAAACAATATCCACACATCAAATTGTTATTAATTTATCAACAAGTGAATTGTTTTTCTTTACTTTTATTCGTAAAAACTAGTCATGCACTTACGAAAAGACTTAGTTTTGGCGATTGCATTCAATATTTCAGTTTATATATATTTTAAACTGATTCTTTATTCAAGTATTTTTACTTAAAAAAAACATTTTTTCTCAAAAACTCACCAGTGCATGAAGTGGCAGATATAAGCAGATATTTGTGTTATACACACAAACAAAAAGTATATTATTTTGTATACATTGAAACACACACGGTATATCTGATAAATATTAAGTTTGATGTTTTCATTTAGGAAACTGTTATTTAATACATTCAATTAGAGACTTATTAAATAGACATATGTATAACATCTGTACATTTACAATTATTGTATAACATATTTATTTATATTTACGTAAAAGTAATTGGTGTAATTATTGAAAATCAATTATAGATGTAAACATTTTGTATGTATCATATACACGCGCGCGTGTTGAAAATAAGTTCTTATACTATTATGAAACATTAGCTCGTTAAGCGCCGTATCAGTCACCTGTGACGGACATTATAAAAAAAAAAAAAACGTGAGAAAGTTGACGGTGTTGCATGACGTAAACAAAAACATAAACAGAATGAGCTTGGTGCTTAACGTGCTAACATTTGTGTAACTTTAGTTCTATGTACGATCGTGTACATTGGTGTACAAATTTACAAATAAAAAAAGAGTATATAAAGCAATGAAGTTATCAAAAACAAAGGCCAAACCTATCCGTATTTCCTCTATAATGCCATAATAAAGTTTACTTTTTACGCGCAACAATATCTCACTTATGTACATTATTACTTTTCTCTATACACGTTATGTACATGTAAGGCGTATTTTTAAGTATTAAATTACATTACACCTCCCGTGTGTCGAAAGCAAAAATGTTAAATATTTAAGTATATTTCTATTCAATAATCACAAAAACATTCAAGAACTTCGTTTTGTGCAGCGGGGCTGTGTTTAGAAAAATAAATTTTTGTTTTAATATTAAATTTACCGAAGATAAACTTCTCGTGTTTTATAAGCAAGATCGCTATGTAAAATCTTGCAAGAAATTGAAAACTACTTTGCTATATTAATTTTTACATCAAGTGTGTGTTACTTTGAATTGCAGTATAGAACATAGTATTATTAATCATGGCACATCTTTGGAGTAAAACGGTACAAAAACGTCAAAACGAAGTATAATAACGAGTATACTCCAGCTCCTGACGCAAGCATCACAGGATAATATATAATGCTATTCTCTTTTTTCTTGTGTTTAGAACATGTAGATTTACAATCGTATGATACAGTTATATAATACAAATTGTAAATTAATCGGGACACGAATTTGTATTCATGGAAGAAGGAATACTCGCCGCTATCATATTTTAGCACAACAGTAGATTATATACTATATAATACATGAAATATACATCAGTTAGCGCCTTGTGTGTTCAAGAATACATCTTCACAACCACGTTGATGTACGTGTGTCGCACATATATAATATCCACAATATTATACATTTTAACAACACCATCATTCTTTCAAAGTAACAAATTGAAATAAATTATCTCCTCTAAACACAAGTTTAGGAGTGACCAAATCTCTTATACTTACAATACAAGTGTTCTTTACATGCCACTTTATATGATCTGACGATTTTATTATTCTCTTTTTTTTTTTTTTTTTTTATCTCTGAGTAACTGGAATTTTTCTAAAATATCTTGTTGTATGTGTGTGCATGTGTGTAAAGTTAATTATTTTTATCTCGCGCGCGCACACACACATTACACACACATACACACATCTGGATCACAGTGCAAAAATATCAGTTTACAGTGCAAGTTAGTCTTACGCCCGTTGAAAATTGATTCTTTGTATAATAATCATAATTTAGCCTAAATCCCGAAAGCTATTGTTATAATTCATCATCGATATGTTTAGCTAAATGTGATTTTTGTGTAATTTTCTTAACTTTATCATCTTTGCTGCTGTGTTTTTTCTCCTTCTCTGTTATATTTGGTTCTGTTGTGCTAGATCGCGAATCTGTTTGCGAGTTCTTCTTAACCGCCGTCAAGTCTTCTTCTTCATTCATAGAGTTTTCTAATTCTTTCACTGGGTCAGTGGACGTAACGTCGTTTTCGAGTAAATTTTGTTGATCGGACGACTTTATTATAGATTCGGTTTCATAGGTATTCCGTGTATCGCCGATATTTTTCTCCAAAGTATGTCTTTTGTTGGAAAAATCTTCTGTATTTGCATCGGAAACATCCGTAATCACAGGCGTATCGAAATTTTGAGACTTCTTAAGATCCGGTACAGAGTCCATAATGGAATTTTTTTTCCGCTTGTTGTCGATGATCTTTTCATCAAGTTCTATATTCACCGTTTCGTCCAATAGCAAGTCTATCTTCTTTTGAACTTTTTTCACAACTTTTCTTTTCCTATCGTCGTCTTTGCTTTGATTCTGAGAAGAGTGCAGAACATTTTCTTCAGATTTAATAACTTCCTTATCCTTTTTATCATCTACATTTGTGAATACATCGCTTTTATCTTTGTGCTTCGACGGATTATTTTGTTGAGAATGTTTCACAGCTTTCTCTATTTCCGACAGTATAAAATGCTCGAAGTCTTCTATTTTTTCAACGCTCGACTCTTTATCCTTCTTCGAGATTCTAGCATTCTTATCGATTTCCACTTTACCTCCGTTACTATCGCTTATAAATTCTGCGACTCTAACATCGTTCATCTCGGTTATTCCCATAAAGTTTTCCTTTTTTTGCAGATTTTTTAAGTTCTTTTGCAGATCAGCAATCAATACGTCGTAATACGAACTATCGTCTTCTTCCGATTTCTCCAAATCCCGATTTCGCCAGAGCCTTTGCACTCCGTCGATCAGTACATCTTGATATGTATCGTGTACCTCCGCATGAATGTAATCCAAAAGTGCGATGTGTTGATTGATGATCTCGTCTTCTTCTTTGAACAGATCAGATATTACATGACGCAGAAACGAGTAATTCTCGATCAACGCAAGACCGCACTCCGAGATTTTCACCAACTGATCCATTTCGGGTCTCACCGATTTTATACTCTTCAATTTTGTAGCTACGGTCTTTAAACTTAGCACGGTATTATCCATGTTGGTGAGCAAATACTGTCTGAACAACTTCTGTATGTTCGGCTCTAGTAGCTGCGACATCTTCTTAACAGATGAGTTTGGCGCAACGACCAGCAGTTCACTTAAGAACCACCGAACTTTGTAAGATAATGATGTTTTGGTGAGTACACCGCGCGCCTTATTCACCCAATTGTAGTAACTCTCCAGAATGAAACTTCTGATCCTTATACCTTTGTTTTGTTTACTGTTGAGGAATATCTTATTAACGAACGCTTCCTTCAACTGATGCCACAGAATCTCAACATGCGTGGAAACTGGTTTTAAAGTAATAATTGTAGCTTCGGCCGTGGCAGTGATTCTCACTTCACCGCCAAGCGAATCTTTGATTATGTCCGCGTGGAAGTAGTAAAAATCGATAGTGTCCTCTTGGTTCTCTTGCAACTCAATTAGAGGCATCTTGATGTCCAAACTCGACCCGACAGTTGTCGCCTGCAATTGCGCCTTTACATAATAGAATGTTCATGTTATTAAAATTTCGTACACATTTTTTTGAAAAAGATAATTCATGTAAAACAAAAATTTAAATAGAACTGACAGACCTGTGAGGACATGTGCCGGCTAAGAAACGATTTTAAAGATCCTTTTAAACGTTCGAAAAGTGACAGATCAGTTGGTGCTTTGAGTTGAACTTCTTCTTTAGAATACGCCCCTATAATCAGCATTAAAAAAATGGCAAATGTTAACATTATATCGCATTGATCGATAAAATTTATAAATTTTTGTGACGTATTTGAATTCGTATCACTACCGAGAGTAACAGTTAGATCGCCATCCGCTGCATTAATAGCCTTCATCAACTCAGCTGCTTCCGTGAAAAAGAGAAATACAACAGGAATCGTGACATCATCCACCTCTTTTCCGTCGCCAGACATTGCAAACATGGGCGAAGTTGCCGCGCTCGAACCAGCAACATTATCCAATACTATTCCGGCAATTGCACCAGCTCGTTGAATTCTTCGTGCCTAAAAAGAGAGTAAATAGACAAAAAATAAAAAGACAATTATATATATATCGTGTAATAAACATACAAAAACATAAAATGTAAATACCTTTTCTATAAACATGCAATTTCCCCGATCCATGATTACTATTTTGCCTGCCAATCGATCTGCATTGAGCAGATCTGTACAAGCTGCGGGTGGATACGTGAATACCACTTTTCCAGTAACCTTATCGAAGCTCTGTAATTCAGGCCCAAATTGAGCTGGCCCAGCCAACAGTGTGATTTTTTCTGGCGGATCCGCGTTGGGTTTTGCAAACGTAACCGTTTGCGGTTTAGTTTCTGGGTGCTGCGTTTGCATTTTGCTTAGCTCGACCATTTCTTGCATGAACAGCAATCCTTCTTCCGAATCTTGCGGCGTTTTTGCCTATTCGAACAAACAACACGTATGATTCATCGCGCAACAGAGATGATAGAGAAATATCAAACAAAATTCTAACGAGTAAAGTTACATTAGAAAATGTGTGCAAAAGCTGAACCCTCCCGTCTGCAAGTGTTAAAGTTGTTATTCCCATATCGCTCAATATTTTCAGATGTTCCAAGTTATTCGCCTACAGCAAAAAAAATGGAATTCTTTAGGTGTATTTTATTTTGATGCGTAAAAAGAAAATACGATGTAAACATACTTGAAATTGTGACGCGCTTAATCTTCGTTTGATCGCTCGTCGCGGACAGACATCTTCTACCATATTCCTTAGGGGTTGTCTCACCGACGCCGGGAACAAGTGCAAACTATTTGGGCAAGTGCGATCAAACTCGTCCACGTGCACAATATCGCGCTCGAAATCCTGCTTGACAAGATACACAACTTCTGCAATGTCTGTCGCGTGATATCAATCGCGCGTTGCAGATTTACGTATACTTACAGATGAAATATTTGATCTTACAGAGGCGAGCGTGAGCGGCAACAAATGGCCCTCGGTGGTAAAAATAAACTCGTCCAAGTCTAAAACCAATTCCCCTGGTTCCGCGAATAATAAAAATAAGTATTTAAATGTCTCGGACAATACGAAGCTATCCATCGTGTCATCGTGTTTATTAGTTCTAACATCTGATACGGCTGCGTAACCGCACGGCACTCTTGCATACGTTTGCAGACTTTTGAGTACCTTACGTCCGACTCCCAAGTAATAATGATCGCCCGTCGCTCGGTACAGGAAGTACGTTGACTCTAGAAATTCCGGTCTCAGCGGGTGATGTCCCCAGTGCACCTGTTTTCCCAAACATTTATCAAATGTAAAATCTCTCGCGCGACAAGATAAAAAATAACTTAATTTAAAAAATTTATATTACTCTTCAATTATATATGTAAGTGTAATAATACAATTAATACGTGCCTGAAAGTCAGTGGTAAATGCCTCCGGTATGAAGTTGTGTCTCTGCATAACTTGATACAACATTTCATGCGTTTCCACGGCAGGTTTGATATCACCTTTGAGCACCTGTAAAAGAAATAATAATAATTGAACTTTTCTTTTTTTCTAAGATAAAAAAGATAAATATACCTGCAAACCTGGCCAAAAGGCCAATAAAGCATCCATAAAATTCTTTGAATTTGTATTCGGTCTGTGCATGTGTACATCTAACAACATCGGCCCTTGACTGACATACTTCATCACAGCCTGATAATGTTTGTTAAAACGTCCTAAATATTTCTCATCACCTGTGCAAAATCCAACGTGTGATTTTTGTATACATGTGTTGTTTGACAATATTGCCGCATACTGCATGTATATAATTACCAAGTAAAATGTATGCCTTCAGACAATATTCGTAGTAAGAGTCTATGCCAGCACCAACGCCAGAATCTCTTCTTACCCAATCTCCAGAGTTAACATTTAGCACAGATCCCATCAAGTCCGTACCACGATGTCTCATTCGCCACAAAACGTCCATAGCTTTTTGCGCCTTTTCCTAAGACAATTCTTTCTTAAAAAAAAATAAAAAACTAGTCTACACAATATCAACTTTAGACGAAAAACAACTTTCATCTAAAAAAAAAACTAGATATACCTATTATCAATATATACTTAAACATTCATGAAGTATCTTACTTCAAAAATCGGTTCGCCTGTTAATCGTGACAGAGCAGCCATTTCTAATATCATGCTACCTGCACAAGCGGTGCATGTTTCTCTTGACACTTCCATAGGAACTCCTTTCATACCATGTTTTAAATTTATCTGTTTTAAGTATCGAAAACATTAAAGCTTTTGAACGAATCAAAATATAGTGCAGTATTGAAGGTAAGAGTGGTTTTACCCTGCCATAAGGTATTCCGGTAGTTGTGTTGAATGCAGGTAAAAATCTATATCCCAAGTCTTTAGCTAAGTCCAGAAGTTCTCCTCTGTACCATGGCATTATATCAGCTCTCTGTTGTAGATATTCAGCTAATATATGACCGCTAAGAAGACCTCTATAAAAGGGAATTTAAATAGTCGAGAATTACTATTAATCTCCATACTGTTAATATTGTGTATTTATCTTTCTATATGCTTTAACCACAAGTTTTTTACACCTGCACAATGAACTTTGACTTACCCAAGCATTCTAATATTTGTCTCAAACAGAGAAACAATAACATCTGTATCAAAGCTTACATCCCTACCAACAAGTCTGACTGCGTTCTCGAATTCTCCCAAATCTCCCAGCACCTAAAACACATAAAATATTTACGTGTAAATAGAATTTACAAAAATATATAATAAAACTGTTTATTTTCAACACTTACCACTAATGTATCTAGTGTATCCACCAAAGTAAGTGAAAAACTGCAAATTACAATACGCAAGTTAAAATGCTAAGAAAAAAATGATGAGAAAAAATTAACAAAGAATTAACTACAAATTAATAATATCATAAATAATCTTATGCACATAATTTGGTTTCTCACTTTCCCAATGTAGAATCTATATCACCCCTGTCTCTTTCCGAGCCTCTGTATCGTCCTTTGCAGCTTAATGGCATTAGTTCATCAGCAGGATATGCATTATCCTTGAAAATAATAACATTGTCGATTTTCACATTTTTATGGGATTCTGATATGCAAAAAGTTAATTCACTCACCATATATGCATTGTATGCATGATAAAACATATCTCTCGCTTCTTCCCTGTAAAATATAACAATTTATTCATAAAAATGACAATATTAGAATTTACATTCACTGCAAATACAACAATACAAACTTCAATGCTTCTCTTTCTTCCTTGTTCATATATTCTATTGGATCATCTTCGGATAGCGCCCTTAACATCTGTATACTGCATCCTATGAACAACAGTCCCCAAATAAGAGCCTCACACGCCATTGTTGTCAAGAAAAATAAGTCCCCTGTTTGTCAAGATATCACATTTGAAGTAGCACACATTGTCCAGCAAAGTCTTTTCCAATTATTCCATCTCATTTCAAAGATTCCATTGTAATATGGAAAATATTAATCACAGATACACCACACATAAGGCTTTTTGAACTTATCTTTTCACTCTTTTTTTTCCTGTTATCACATAAATAAGTACGTGTATCGTTGATTTTCAAATCACTATTGTGTGTATAAGGTACGTATATAAATTTACCGAATCATTCAATGAATTTATCACTTATCTAGGCAAACGGTATTCATCTCTCATGCAACTGCAACAACAAATCATAAATTTTAGATCGTAATCACGCGATATATTGCGAGCAAATAGACCACCTAAAGATCGACAAATTTTTTCTTCTCTCCGAGAAAAAGCTTTTTTTGGCGGTCGCTTCCTAGAGGAGCAACAAACGTGCGGAAGAGCGGTTTAAAAAAAAGGCGATAAACTGGCGAACGAAGAAAAGACGGTGGTTGTGCGAGTCGTTGTCGTCGTCGTCGTTATCAGAAGAGATAAGCGAGTGGCAAGGACAGCTGATTACGTATTTGCATCAAGGCCAGATGATGTTGGCAAGACGGTTTTCCCGTCTGGTGCGACGCGCAAGAACCCTCACCATATGTTTCTCGTCGCGGATCAACTTTGCCTGTTTCTCAGCGATTTTTTTTTTACAATCAATCGCGACAGACGCTTTTCGCGCATTCACTCTAAACCCTCTTACAACTCGTCGTGACTAACTAGCCGCAATAGAACGGCAATTTCCCCACATCTGACATAATTATCGCTATTTAGTCAAGTAACCTCCGACCAACCTCTCCCTAATCGCGGGGGTAATTTTCATTATGCGATCGTTACGAATCGTTCACAAAAATCTGTACGATACGAACCAATCAAACTACTTCGCGTTCGAAATTTGCAATGTCGAACAACGAACATTTGCATGAATCGAGCTTAAAGTGCGACACTGGTCCAGTTTCCACCGAAACTCTCAATTCGGTTCCCCACTCCGGTATACAGATCAAATTTAGTGTTTCTTTTCCATTGGAAGCGGAATCGGAGAGAAGCCTGAGAGCGACCACGACCATAAGAGTTTCTGCTGATAGCTTTTCGTGGACATGGTTCTGATCCGTGCTAAGTTTGTGAACATGGTTCTGATCTGTGCTAAGTTTGTGGACATGGTTCTGATCCGTGCTAAGTTTTTGTGGACATGGTTCTGTTCCGTGCTATATGAGAACACCCACGTGGTGGGGATACGCACACAAGCGAGAACCGTTGTCATTGTGCAAGGGGCTTCAGGCTTCTCTCTGCTAAGTAATTATTCCTCTGCTATTTTTTTTTCTCTTCTTCATCTCTCCTCCCTTCCATCCTCTATATTTTCGTCCCTCATCCATATTCCACTGAAGATGACTTAAATAGATTATATAAAATCGAAACGTGTTTGGAAAATAAAATGTGAGTATATTTATTGCATAACACACAGCTCACTTTTGATTCGAATTGCCTAAATTATATTTTAAATTAGAAAAAAAAATCAAGTACCAGTCATTGGAGGAATGTTGAACTAGGTGTAGAGGTTCAGTTTATACCCTACGTCGGCGCTTACTTAAAGAATCCCGTATTCTCAAGCAAGGTCGCCTCGAGGCTGTTGTGTAATTTTTTTTCTTTTATCCGACGACGTTTAATTGCATACCGAAGCGCGATCGCGTACCGCTGTGCACTCGCAAGAATATAAATCTGACCGCCACATGCCGATATCCCGCTACATAGCTAAAGAGTTTTCTGTGTCGAATAGCTGTAGTGGCTATTCTTGCCCGAAGCGCAACAGAAGAACATATATGAAAAATCGTTATTTATATATGCAAATTATTTATTTATACTTTTTTCAACTCTTGATCCGCTATTATTCAACTACACACAGTGGCGATTAAGTTCTATATAAGCAAAATTTTATTTAAAATATATAAAACATATAAAATCAAATAAAATAGTAGATTTTCTTTTTATGTATAAAATATATAAATAGTAGATTTTCTTTTTATGTATAAAATATATAAAAAGAAAATCTACTATTTGTGTAATTAAAATAATAAATAAATATAATAAATCGTAATAATTTACATGAAGAAAAAATTTCACACACACACACACACACAAAAGAACATTTTCCGCACGAGTTTATCAATTACAATGAATCTCTTTTATGAAAAACTAAATAAAAATGAATAAAATAAGACTCAAGGTGAATATAAAACAAGGAAAATTGTAGATATATGTGTTAATGTTGAAATATTATAATAATAGGACACGCGCACACAGTATCTATGAAGTGAAGAGAATTGGAAAGTCAACGTAGTTGCATGGCGTTCTGCCATCAATTTCGGGCCCCTCGCAGCTTTTCCGCTGAATGAACGCGCGTGACACTTCGGCGTGACGCATTCAGCCACGGAAGAAAACATTTTCGGAAAGTAACGCTTAGCCTACAAACTCTCGCCTAAAAACGAGGATAGCCCACCAGAGCACGTAAACAGAGCGTGTTACGGGATTACCACAATTACCAAGAAGAAGACACACGGAAGTACTTGTATGTACAAACAAATACATATACAAGTATTTCCATCTATGTATAATGCGCTTCTTCGTACATAATGACGCGGATCACGATTCGCGAAATGCGTGCGCGCGTTCGCTCGTTAACGCTAATCAGCGCTACGGCGCCGCTTTCGGCGTCGTTCATCGTCACGAAAATTTCTTGAATACGTAATTTAACTTCAGATATTTTCATAACGACGGAGAGTGCGATTTATTTCTTCGATATAATATAAACAGAGACAGCAAGCGAGGTCGGAAATGGATTTTGGAGGAATTTCTCTGATTCTAGACCGGATATTCTTCCTGCGAAAACGATCGTCGCTATAGATCGATGTAATCGCCGATCGCGGTCTCGATAAATGCGAAATTTCCTGCTCGCGTCTACGAAGGTCGCTTGGTTATTCCGTTACGCTCGGATCATTTGCGACTCGTAATACGTTCACTGAACTTCCCGCGATGAACCATGCCAACAACAAGTGCAGAAGGAGGCGATCGGCCGCGAGTCGATCCTCCGGCGCGATTAGTGAGATCTTCCTAATAAGAAGAACTGACGCAGCATCCCGCTACTGAAACAGTTATGACGGATCACCGGCGCCTTCTTTTTCTGTCAAACTATGCGCGCCGATTTACATCAACTCGATGTATTTGCGCTCTTGATACCAAACGAAAAAAAAAAACGCGTGAATAGAGGTGATATAAATGCGCGAGAAAAAGAAACAAGACATCAAGCAAACGGAGCCGAACAAAAATGAGGCAAAATGGTTTTATAAAATTTAACGGGATGCTTTTTAATTTGCAAATCAGAGATGAACTGATGTAACTACTGAATTAAGAAAGCTCATTATTATTTATGTTGTTTCTACTTCTACAGGAAAGAATGGAAGAAAAATAATCATCAAACAATACGAATTCCGTTAAGAGTTTTGTTAAGAAGCTATGATTAAAAAGGATATCAATGATTCTTGTTCTCTCCTTCTTTTTTTTTTTTTTTTATTTAAATATAATGTACACAGTCACAAAAACCTGCATGCACCATTACATTTTTAATATTATAGAAATTATTATAAAAAATTTTCGACAGTCTTACAAGATGTTTTTGTCACAATTAAAGTTTGAAAACATTATGAGAAAAAAACAATATTTAGTAAATTTCCAAGAAAATATCAATATAAACACGAAATATTAATCAATTAATAGAGAATCTTTTGGGCTCTGAAGTTTTTCAAACTATAAGTATATGTAAATCTTACACGTGAGAATTTTTGAATTGAGATTTCAATTCTTAAATTTATATAAGATGCTATATTTTGCATCTCTCATATAAGAGAGACCCCGTACACTCCCCTAACTAATTTTAAAATATATTGCGAAAAAAGACTCCTCGGCCAGAAGTCGAACCTGGAATCTCCGGCTTTCCGTGCCGAAAATTATTACGTTACGAATATAATATTATGTTTATTGATTCTCTTTTAGTATCGATTACATAGATACAATTAGATACCGATGTTAATAAGATATATTGATATGTTTTTACGTGTTCTTAAAAAAACGTTTACGTGAAATAATTTTATTAAAAAATGCCTCTATATGTAAAGTAACTTTATAATAGCGCGTACATCTCTTTAACTTATTTTAACTTTTGCTACTATCCTGACTGTATTTTATAAAAACTTGTTTGTAAATATACTTGTTTGTAAATATATTCTTCTGAGAATTTGAGATGCTGCGAGCAAATTAAAAACAACAAAATGATGAAGCAAGAATGTCAAGTTGTAAAGTTGAATATGCAACTCAGACTACGAAGGAACACATTGCGGTACTATTATTACAAAAGAATTTAGTGAACAAGGAAGTTGCGTGAAGAGCGGGATGATTTTGAAGTCTTGAATATTTATGTCTTTTTTGTTTTAAACGATTAGATACGACGAGTACACTTCTCACTCAAAGAGTAGACCTTTCGAAATTCTCAGGCAATACTGTCCGATTGGACAGTTCCATTGAAAATGGTAGCAAAGATGAGTAGTCATTGGCCAAACGGTTTATCCCCACGTATGGCACTCGCAGGCTATATAGAAGACTCCGCGAGGAATTTCATCTTCAGAACTGAGAGTCAGTGTCACACGGAAGTCCACCCAGGAAGTATAACTGAGTGAGTAAAATATATATATATATATACATGTATATATATATAGTTCTTCCATTGCTTTCGGTCTTGGGAGGTAGGACACGAACTGAAGGAAATTCAATTATCTGCGTTTTTTCCAGTTTTAACTCCAGGAATATATATTGTTTGGTATAATTTTCATTTTTTTTTTTTTTACACGTTCGAAATTACTCTTGTGATATTATTTATTTTTGGTGTAAAAAAATTATTTATACTACACAGCTATTGATGTATACACACCGGAAAGTTTCTAGTTTTATCATTTAATTTTTGTCGTTTCGGTATCGCGCTTAACTTCAATCGGATTATATTGAAAGTTTAAAATTGAATGAGAGAACACGTATATTCATATATATGCTTTGTTTAACTGAAAACAATTTTGAGACTAATAAGTCATTATAACTTATGCTGCCTAATAATAATTGTTGTGTGTGTTAGCATATAAAAAAGATTTTAATTATTTTAATATTATTATTTTATATTATTATTTACTAGTATTTTATATTATTATCTTGATTTTTAAATATTTTCTAGAGCTATTCATATATTTGAATTTCAGTCTTATTTATAAAAAAAAATTATTTTGGTTAATGGGTAATTTGTGCATTTTGCATTTGTTTGTACATTATTTAATATCAGAACATTTAGTTATATTTTTGTTTTATAAAAATTTTTAAGTATAACTTTATATACATATATATATGTGAATACAGAATATATGTTAAATAAAGAATACATGTATTCTTTTTTTATAAAAAAATTATCCAGCTTGCGCTACAGCAATTTGCATGTTGGTAGATCTAAGTAGTCAAAGAAAATAGTTACTTTCTTTTGCTGTTAGGATCTTCACACAGATAAGATGAGCTGTCATCTGACTGTAAGAGTTACAGTTAGAAACTTGTTTGCAATTTTTCTATCGTCCAGTATACCGTTTTCCAAAGGTGCGCCGTGTGTCGTTTATCGAGTGAGAGGCTCTCTCATTGCTTTCACAATCATCTTCTTGTTATTCTTATTATGCCGAAAGTTTCTTCAGAACGTTAAACGCGATTATGTTTGACACATTGTAAATCAAATTTGTATTTGGATGAAAATTGTGAAGAGAAAATAATTAGTACTGATTTGGAACGATAATAATAATACAATAATCGCAGCTACGTAATCAAGATCGATAAATCTAAATTTTTCTCAATGCTCCAATTTACATGCTACATGGTTTATCTTTAGCTCGAAGCTAAAACGAGCTTCAAAAGTCTGAAATTATAGTTTATAGAGTATAACAGATAACATATTAATAAAAAAAAAAAAAACAATTTAAAAACTAACTGTAGATAGGATTTATGAGTTTATTTTCGAGCTTATTATTCTCATGAAACTCGAAATCGAATGTTAATTTCGTCGATCTTTGTCTCAATTTCGCCGATCGGAGTATCTATATTGGATGCTTTCCTTCATTGCTTTCCTTTATTTAGTTTTTTTATTGGTACGGGATTGGTAGCTGCGACGATCGACAGTAGGTCGTGACCGCCTTTTCAGATAACGGTTCCACTGTCGAGTTCAACAAACCGGCACCGTCAGACCGTCGGGAAGTGGGCTAACGAGTGATCGGCGTGTTCGCCGTCGAGGCGACCTTAACCATCGTGGCATACTTTCTGCTACATCGGTCTGACATACGGCGACACGTACAAATTTCAGTCACTTCCGTTCCGCGCTATCAAGGGAAAGATCATGGTCACGCCAGCGCACACATTAAAAAATTCATATCGACTTAAAAATCGGAGTCCGATTAAATTAGCGATTTCGAGTCGAATCTTTCACATTAGCTTTGTTTTATTTTGTTGAATTTCAGTCTCTCTAATTTAAAGTTTTTTTATTTAAACTTAATTGAAATAAATTTAATAATGTTCGGTTGCTTAACAAAATATAACTTTAATAAAAACGTAAAATTTTTATTTTTTAAAAACATAAAATTAGTTGTGCAATAAATATAAATTAGTTAGGGAAATCACACTACATGTACGTTTTCGAAACATCGTGTTTTTTCTTCGACATAAAAATCACAAAATAAATAAAGTCGTTATTGAATATATAATAAACAAAGTTGTTAATCATTGTAACGTTAAAATAACTTTATTTACATGCACCTACACAGACGCGTGAAATGAGAATCAATGATGATTTTATGTATTGAAAATTGTAATAGATAAAATATATGAATACGAGATAATGAAAGTAATAATATCGAAGGAAGCATCAGTAGTAGTTTCTGGTGTAAATATTTACATGTCTATTTTATCGAAGCATTACAATTTATAAATAAAAGAATCTAAAAGAAATTCTGTATTTTATGGTCATTCAACACAAATCATCATTTGCGTTATGATTTGCATTTTTTTAGCAAAAATTTATAAATAGTTTTATTAATATACATATTTACAAATGTATTCATCGTTCAATTTTACTTGAATCTTCGTCGTTTCGTGTCAGTTGCCGCGACATACTTTCGTTTCTGAATCGCCATCATCATGTGTCATATATAATTTTTTTTTTCCTGCGGCGTTAGATTCATGCCGCTTTAGCATTTAACATTAATACATAATTCTGCATAAACGATCAAGTAAAACCTGGCGCGGCTTTATGATTAATTTATGCATGTATAATTAATTCATATATAATTTATGGTTCATATATAATTTATCATACTTTCTCAAAATATTGAATATACAACGGTACTATGTGGCATATACATAGTGGCAAAATGAAAAACACTATTTTCAATATATGTTAATATTCTTCAAAAAAAATTATTAAAATTATATTTCTGAATATATAATTATTTTATTCAATTTTAATATATAAACATTGTGTGTGTGTGTGTGTGTGTGTGTGTGTATATTACATTCATAATAAAGAAAAGTCTTAATTGAAAGAAACTAGTGATTTTTGTATAGATCTTTATCGATTTCATTGAATCACAGCAGAAAAATGTTGATTTTGTTGCAGAATGAAGTACAATCAGTACGTGTCGCTTTGTCTGATCGCACTTGTCCTAGGACAAGCCGCGGCTTTGCCACAGCATCCTCAATATACACCGCAATATCCGCAACAATACCAGCAAGAACAGGTCAAACAAGAAGAAAGGAAGTTTGCCGAGAAGCCGAACGCGATGAAAAAAGTGGCTCTTGATGATCTCGAAGACATAAGTACAAATCAAATTCAGGTGATTTATGGATCTCTCTTTGTTCTTGACACTTATCTTCGCGTCGGGAAAATTATTTTTGTTTCAGTTTTATATTTTGTTAATATTTAATAGGAGAATGGCAGCAGCGGCTTCTCGTGGTCCAACATGTTGGGGATGCTGATGCAGATGTTGTTAGGTCAGACCAGTGGCGGGGCCGGGCCAAGCAAGAACGAGATAGACGATGGCGCAACCACGAGTCCGTGGACCAACCTGCTCTCCGTAGGTCTCAGAGTACTGACAGCGTTGCTAGGCGGACCTCAACAACCGGTAGACGGTATTGACAAAGTGGACAATCAGAGCAGTCCGATGCAGGTATATATATATACATATATATAAGTAAAGCTAATCATGATAGAAATAAAAAATCATCCGATCGCGTCATTCTTTAATTAGATGCTGTAAATTAAATCGGCTTTCTCTCTTTCTCACTTTCTCTCTCTCTCTCTCTATCTTTTTAGTTTTATCTTTGTTAGATCATAATTTAATATTATATATAGCACATAACATGTAGATATGAAAGAGAATTTTGTAATTTGTGAAATTTGCATCAATGAAAAGTCTGGAACGTTGAATGCTTTTGTCGCGAAGGATTCCTTCCTTTTTTCTAATGAACACGAGGATGTAAATTTCTCAAAAATTCGCATATTTAAACAAAGTTCGAAATGTTTTCTATTAGAATTTTTTTTATATTAGAATTTGTGTTACAGTATTTTGAGGCTCATTGTCAGTAATTCTTAAAAGAAAAAAATAGAAATTTTAAAGGTATACATGGTCGTCTTTGGTCACGACTTGTCCAACACAATAATTGAGAAAAGATGCATCGAATAATTGTTCTAATCGCGACGGACTATTATTTTCACGCACTTGCGTCACACCATCTTCACGTTTTCTACACAATTTAATTCGACCGGAAATCTGTCGGCGTTTCACTTTGATTTTTGTTCTTGAATCACATTTGCGTGAAAAAAATAATTTAAACCGGTTAGATGAAAAAAAGGAGGTGAAACATTCTATTCTTCCAATTTTTGTGATCTTATTATTTATGTTCAAAACAAAAAATCCTGACACGACATTTGCATCAACGAACAGACGAAACATACTCACTCTCTCTCTCTCTCTCTCTCTCTCTCTCTCACTCTTTCTCTCTTCTCTTGTAAATAATTGTCAAACTTTAGACTTAGTGCACATAGCCGGTGTCGGTTGTCTAGGAAATTTTGACTGCGGTGCTGGGCGCGTTTCTAGGACAGGGCAGAGACCCAAAACAGATTGCTGTAATGGTCAAAAATGCTTCTGAGGTTAGTATGAGTCCACGAATGAATAGACACTCGACGATTAAATATCTTCTGGTTCGTTTATCGTTCGAAACTATTTTAATAATAAGCTCTAAGGACTTTACTTACGTTCCTACTTTGTAAAATACGATAAATGAAAGATCGAATTTAAATTTAGTTGTATATTTGTTATATATTAATAGAAGAATTAATAGAGAAATAGAATTAATAGAATTAAAGATTGTACTTTATCTTTGTTTTAGAGTATTTGTTTGTTTTAAAATATTTGGTATGTTAATCTATCACAGTTTCTTTTTATTAATGAATATATTTTTAACCTTTTGTATACAGACATTAAAAAAATGACATATGAGTCATACTTTTAAATCAAAGTCATACGACTTTTAAATCAAATATCTTTGCGAAAAATCAATAGTTTTTCAATTTTAGTTTTTGTAAAAAAAAAAAAGTAAAAAAATCTCTACTAATTTTGAAGATAGAAGGTTCAACGTAAATCTATGTGTCTAATTTTTCGATAGCAAAACCTCCCCGCAAGAGGGGCGGAACACACTATTTCCACGCATACACTTTTCACTCAAAGCAAAGTTCACATCCACAATGCACATCGCTTTTCAATGTACATTATTGCAGTGACATGTTATAGATTGGGTTGAATTAGGTTTTTTCGAGAAGGGAGTGCAAGAGGAAAAACGGAGCCCCACCTATACGATAGTGTATAATGTATAGTGATACAAACAAAATATTTATTTAATTTTTGAGTGGGTTTGGAAAACTCATGTCTGTATACGAAGGGTTAATTTAAAAAATCGCCTAAAGTTAAGCATCTCGAACAACCAATTTTACGATGATCAATCGATTTAAAAAAGACATGTAATTCTAGGCTTCTAAGCTCAAATCAAAGCAATTTTTTTGTATTAATAATTATCTATATACTTATATACAAAAGTGAAATTTGATAATGTATACTTGTATTGTAACTTTTCTCGCGCGTATCTGTTATATCGTGCTGTTTGTATTGCTAAAATATTTTTTCTTATGATACATATCTCCGCGAATAAACTCGCTTATTTTTGCTTTGTTATTAAGCAGTTTATCAGCATAGTCATCAATCTGCTGGACGCCCTGAAAACATCGTTCTCTCATCGCTCGATGTCGGCTCGCTCGCTCGGAAGACGTGACACAGTATCCGAAGCCGCGATAGCGTCGATCTCTATGCTGAAGGTAAATGATATTAAACATCAATTGAAAGAGAAGCGTGAAAAAACTAATAACAATATTATTAATTTTTTTAAAATAATCAATGAATATAATTGGTCGTGAAGAGCCGTTCGCTGGATGCGGAAAATATGTTTATATATATATATATACATATGTATTAATTTTTTAATTATTATTTTATATATATTTTTATATATAATATAAAAGTGAAAAAAGTAATTTTTATAGTCAATTTTTATTGAAATACGTATCGGTGGATGACGGAGATGTGTATACTACTTATTGTGCTTGTGAGGTTTTTACTATTTATTGAACTTCTTTTATCAGGGCTATATGAGATCCGTCAAGTCCTTTAGCTACGTAGGTCGCGCTGAAGAGGAAGGTCAACGTGGATGTGCCGAAAGAGCTCTTTGCGAGGCAAGCGCGGAGTGTATCGCTGATACGCAGGGCCCGTCATCGATCTTCTGCCAACTCGGATCGTGAGTGTTCAGTTTATTTTTGTTAATCTTAATTAAATTACATGTAACACAACAATGACATATCTTAATGTTTATCTGTTATATAGATGCGTAATATTATTCTTATTATAATTCTTATTTCGTGTGTGTGAAACGAAATCATACAAAGTGTTTCTCTGTTTTTTTTCTCTGCAGATACGCGACGAGTTATCTCCTGCAGAGACAAAGCGGCGTCGGCTTCGAAGCCTTGTACGAAGCGGGACGACGCGGTCGCACAGGCGAAGATTGCAGAACTCTCTTCATGGATTGCAATGCCGTATGAGCGTGTTTGTTTCTTTGAGCGTGGCGCAGATCTTGCGATTTCAGAAACAGATTTTGGAATCTCTTCATCGATTGAATTTAATTTAGAAGCGACCGAACGAAGGTAAAAAAAATTTCGGAACGATCTCTAAAAGATCGAAGAATATCTTCGCGGACGTTCCCGATACTTTCGACATATCGTCCACCGTTTCTCGAAATTGGCGTGATTTTAATAGAGTTTCTGATATCTCATGATTTATGCCACGCCAAATGTGAAAGATGTGTAGGTTTAATCAACATGATTTCGCAGACGCGCCGAGCCGAGATTCGCATCGAATCTCGCTGACTGCTCGGCGATTCATCACGTGACTGATCATTTCGTTCGAGCGGCGAATTACGCGCTAAACAATGTGGATTATTTCGACAAGAATTCGCGATCACGATATCTCAAACAAACACAAGACGCGCAATGGTCGATAATCTGTACTAATAACATTATTTTGAGAAAATGATGTGTTAAAAGCTTTTCCGTTTATTGCATTTTCGTATCGGCCAACAAGTTCCGCCGCATCGATTTTACATAATTCTATATTTATTTTTATTTATCTCGAGTGTATTAGGTGCAGAGACGCGAGTTGCAGCGTTCCGGTAATTCGACACGATGATCACGACAAATCGTTCAACAGATTAAAAAAAAAAAAAAAAGACGAAATCCCGACTGTTGATTGATTTTTTGTCGCGTTTAAAGCACACAAAGTTCGTATACGATGCCTAAAACCATAATGCATGATTAAAAATGAAATTTTTGTTGTATCAAGAGTATACACTTAAGTTGTAATTTCAATTTCCGATGCAAAACTGTATTTCTATGATAATATCCGCGTGCATCTCTGAGCAGCTTCAAAAATTGAATTCTGTGCATGCGCTGCATCTAGTTAAAACTTTTGCACTTAATGCATAGGTTGTTTACGTACACGCATCGCATATTTCATCGTTACATGTAGGGATGTGTATATGAAGCGTTATTTGTGGTAAGGTTTCTCTAGGGAAGAAGATGCGCTTAGAGCTGTCGGAAAAAAAGGATCGGTAAATTTGACGTGCTTAGCGAGCTCCGTTCAAGTATTTTGTGCTACACAATTCTCAAAATGAGGAAATATAACAAAAATTGCTCAATTTTCGAAACAAATTCGCGTATTTTACACTTTTTTAGTTAATTTTCTAATTGACAGAACCGAAATTTGTGAGTATTATTGACTTTTACTTTATCTCGAACAATATAAAAAAATAAACATTTTTTATACATTTTATCTCTGAAAGCAATCTGGATTTATTTAATAATAAAAAATAAAGCTAATTAAATTTGATATTTTGCGAATAAACGAGTCTCGTTCTCCGCGAATGGCCTTCCCTATTTAATTATATGTGTTAATGTCTCAGGATATTACAGTTTTTCTTTGTTAGCACCCGCTCCATTAACTACTGTATATAGGTATATATTATTTATACATACACGGGTGGAGTTGACTTTTCATTATATTTTGTAATATCCACGTAGCTCATTAGTTTACATGGCATGTAGGCCTCTAAGTTGTATGTATGCGCTGTACGAAATTATATCAATATAAATAAATGGCTTTATTTATACCAAAGATCAGTGTTTTTAATTCTTTTATAATGTCTCGTATTTTTTTTATAAAAAAATCCGTTTAAACAAAACTCTATATATATGAGTGAGTAACTATCTTTAATTGAATTACGCAATTATCATCCACCACAATTTTTTTATTGTGATAATACCAGATCAAATTTTATGTGTGTATTTGGCGACATTCGCGCACAATATTTTAAGGATATGGACGGCGTCCTCCGGAAAGATAAGAAGTTCCGGATTGTTGTCAACGAGCGTAAAGGCGTCAGAAACCGTGACCGTAAGTTTCACACTAGATGACGAGGTCTCTTCTTTGTGACGAAACAGTTTCGTACCGAATCTCGTGAAAGAAAGAGAGTTCTTTGAATTGTCTAAGTGCGTTACACAACTTCACGGAGCTTACAATATTTTCTCTCGCGTAGTTTCTTTTTTTTTTTTCCCCATTCAAAAACAAGATAGTAAACAACAGAATTTATTTTTTATTAAAATTAATTTATATACATATATAAATTTTCTTTTTTGCTTATAATTTTTACATATGATAATGTATACTATGTTTTTTAACACTTATATAATTGAAATAATGAATATTTGTTGTGCATATACACTTTTCACATTTAAACTGTGTAATAAACGTTATAATCATTGAACATTATTGATGAATTTTTGTTTGCTGTTTAGATGACGTTCAAATCTCTAATCAATTTCGGAAGGTTGGGCAAAGCTCCTTGGGATACACCTATCGAGCGTTATCACAGTGATGGGGGTGGATATCATCACGGAGGTGGACATCGAGGGTGCGATGTTATTATATTTTGAAAACGCAATATCGTAATTGTTTGTGAAAATTTCTATTCTAAATTTCAGGAGCTCCAAAGGGAAGGGCGGAGGAAGTGGCGCGGCACTGAGTGCACTGACCTTGCTCGCTTTTCTTTTTCTTCTAAACGTTATGCAGGTAATAGTGTTTTAATTTGCGACAAAAAAAAAATATTCCATTCTTTCTTTCAATACAAATAGTAATCGCAAAAAAATATTATTTTAAAATCGTAAAACATGTATATTATTTTTTTGTTTTTAACGTCAGAAAAAACTGAATATAACTTTTACGCATGTTCTTTATATACGTATCTCGATTAATTTTTTTTTTTTTTTCTATAGAGAGAGAAAAGTTAAATTAATTTAAAAAAAAAAAAATAATCTCAGATAATTATCTAGGTGTAGGAATCTCGTAATTAAAAAAATTCAGTATACATATATTTAAATTTGTGTTACGTTTTTTTTTCGTAGCAATCAATGCAGGATAACAACTCGACAATGGCTACAACGACCGCAGCGTTTCTGTTGCGAGACACCGATGTGCCGGTCGTTTTAGACAACGGAGAAGAAAAGTATGCCAAGATGAAAGACGATTATGCAGCAAACACACATGGTTCGAAGGGTTACACGCGACGCGAGGATTAACCATCTGACAGTATTTATAGTTTTCGGAAAGCTTCTTTTTTTTTTTTTCAATAAAACTTATCAAGTTTTAATTAGCAAAGATCACAGAATTAATTAATTATCTCGATAATACCTATTGGTAACACAAAATAAATTGTGATTGATTTATACGCATCAATTGCTTTATGTGCATCAAGCGAGACGCGAGAGCGACTGTCAAATGATCGACGAGCCAGCAATATAATCCGAAATAATGCAGTTATTCATCAAAAACATCACATAAACAGTTTATTTTAGTTTATTTTTCTCTCTTGTTGAACATGAGATCGTCAAATGGAATATGATAGTCGTCACCGTTGTCGTCATGGTCATCGCTCAAACATAGCTTCTTACTTATCAAGCGCGTTCGAAAAAATCGCAATTCCATCTTTTATTTACACAACATTAGAAACATTTAAATATTCATTTTTATTTCTCGTCATAGTCTTACATACATGAAAAAAATAATGACGAACGATCCACGTATTGCTAGGAAAATGGGTGACATTTTTATAATTTTTCTCGCGCGTGCCGACGCATCCCGAGGAGATCAACTTGGATTTTTTTTCTCCTGACAAACAACACGACAAATCCTCGGAGAATATGTTCGGCGGTTCATGTTTCCACAGAAGTAACGATAGGCAACTTTTTGCGTGATTATTCTCGTTTCAAAACCGATTGTAAGCGACTGTTCGAAAATAGATCGGAACCTTCAAAGAGCAAAAAAAAAAAAAAAAAAAAAAATGAGCTTTCAATGCAAATGTCAATTATTTTCTGTTAAAGAGACAGGGTTTAGATTGATTACGTTTTTTCTTAGAAATATTATTATTTGTGATATCACTCTCTCGCAAAAAGAAAGCGACAGATTTTATTACGTTACCCGTCGTTGCTTCGACTTCTCTCGCTACGTATGCAATGCGCTGTCTAGAAAAGATGATAAATATATCACGATATCTAGAGAATTTTATTGTTAAGTCTTAGAAACGTCAGAAAGTGGCCGTTCACCTTCTCGATTCTTTTCGCTGGAAATCAAGGTGAAACTTCAACGGTGATTTTTTTTCCAGGATGCGCCACTCTCGCGAAAAAGAGCGAGCCGATTTTTGTGAGATCTTCGCTTCTCTTCTCGACTTTTTATTCTTTTCTTTTTTTCTTTTCCTTTTTCTAACAAAAATTGTCAACAAGATCGTCGCGCTTTGACGGAAAATCTTACAAACGACAATCTGAGTCGCGAATAATCTAGACAAAAAAAGGGCACAGTATTATTTTGTTTTCGGACCGAAAGTGAGTGAGCGATTCTGTCGAGCAAAATTTCTAATAAAAAGTATATGCGTGTAAATTTTTCTAGTCGGCGGAAGATGTCAAAAAATCGGAAATAAAGGTTTTATCTCGTAGTTTGAACAAATATATATTTTGCACGTAACTTTTTGTCTCCACAAAAGGAAAGAGATTGACGCACGGAACGAGATAAACAAATAAGTAACGGAAAACGGAAAGAGAGGGAGAAAACAATAAAAATGAAGTATAAAATATAAATTTGAAAAAGAGAGAAAATAGAACACAAATATAAAATTTAAGACCATTGCAAATAGTAGAATAAATTAATTTTTTACACCGAAAAGGATTTGGAATTTTAAATCGTTTTTACAAATCGATTTTGCAATAAAACCTACCAAGAATACGATATTATGCAATTTTACTTGTCTTTCCTCTTCGCAAACAGTTCGCTTGACACATCGCTAAGTTAGTTGACGCGAAAATACATTGATCTCTCGCGGAGAACGCGACTAGTCTTCAGTCGACGATAATTTATTAATTATTTCTTTTCGTTTCACGTCGCACAGTAAACACAGCCGATTGATTGCTGCGCGGGACGCTTATTTGCTCGAATCAGGAATCGAAAAATCGTCGTGATTCCGCACGATTTATCAAATCTCGCGGGATAACGACTTTTGAATTCGCGGTATTACGCTTATTCCGATTCCAAATCACTCCTTTATATATACATACATATATGTATATATACATATATATATATATATGTATACACACACACACACACACACACACATATGTATATATGTATATTTATATATATACATATATATATATAATATCTCTGAAAATTCGTTTTTTTTTTGTTTAGTTAAACATCAAAATCTAAAAGAAAAAAAAATTATCTTACACGAGACGTACAGATTACATGTAAATTGCGCTCATGTTTCCGCAGAGATTGTCTGCTATACACGAGAGATTGTCAGTCCCTTTTTCTTCGAGAAAAAAAAAGAAGCGAGAAAAAAAGGGACGGACACGGAGATTCGACTTGACGATACATGTAGTTAATCGCTTGCATGTCTATCAATTAGTTTCATTTCTCGACTTAGCTACTTCATGTCCGGGCAGGAAAGAGTGTGAGAGGGAGGGGAATGAAGTTGGAAGCGGAATGTAGTAGCACACGTAGAGATTTTTTCTCTCCATTCAATTCCAGTACACATTATAATAAAAAACAAAACAAAAAAACAAAAAACAAAAAACTTTGCTACGTCGAGCGGGAGTGATAAAAAATAAAAAATCACCATGAAATTTTATTTTCTTAAAATTTTAGCTTAAAAAGCTAACATTTCATTAAACAATTAATGCGATGCTTTATCTAAAACATTAAATAAATATTAAATAAATTACTGAAAACAATCTGATTGAATTTTTTTCAAATCGCTCGACGTAACACAGACAAGCAACAAGATGTCTCTGATATAAGTAATATTTTTACAGTTACTTCACAGCTCTTTTTATATATATATATAGCGTATATATATATTCGCGTATAGAAAACGAGATAGACATCGCGAGAGAACGTTAATTAATTAATTTAATATAATAATCATATTAAGCTGATTTTATTCGTTAAAGATGCTCAAACAATCGCGATGACGTTACTGTTCCACACAAACACAGGATTGAAAACAAAGAAATTCCAATTCTGCGGAAAGAACTCCGAGTTTGCTCGTGTGAACGCAAAACGTGAATTTTCAATTTGACCCCTTTTAATCTCGCTGTAAACGTGTCGTGTGATGAAACTTCCGGCGACAAGAGTAAAATCCGATTACTTTTTCAATTAGACCAGCAATCAGTCACTCATCGACGTTAGCAACGTTATACGATTCCCATCGATCATGTTGATTAATTTGCTCTGTTAATTAATTCAATTTAAGCAGCTTCACTTATTGATTCGCGCGCAATCCTCGTTCCGGGATAGAGGAAACCAATTGCTTTGAATGACGATTTAAATAACATCTAAAAATAAATTTTTTTCCTCAACCGCGAGGTAGTATATATATATTTTTCAACAATATCTTTTATAGAGAGCGGTTGCGAGTTAACTAATTGCAATAATCGACCGCGAAATTTCAATAGCAGCATTTCTTTCTTTTTCTTTTTTTTTTTTTCACAGAGCAAAGATGAGATAAATCATTATCCCTCTGACTTGTTAAACACGCAGATCAAAGTCTAAATTTCAATTTCAATCTCATACAATTTCTCGGACAAATAGTCTCGAAAAAAATGTTTTAGATCGTAATTGCCTTTTTTTTTTAGTTCTTTAACTGGTAATCTCGAATTCATCAACTTTATCTCGAAAGAAGATTATGTAAAAATTGCTCGACCACCGAGAACACGACCGACTTTATCCGAGATATTATTACTTCGGTCACATTACTGCGGGCTGGCAAGCAAATTGTGGTCTTTTTTTAAATTTTATCCGTCCTGTGACGTAACAAACAAGACGGCCCTGACCCGCGTAAACAAGAAGAGAAATTTGAGCTCGGATCGATAATGTGCAACTCTGTGAAATATCAAATGTCGAAAAACGCGGAATGCTAACGCTACCCGTAATATTATTTCGTATTGCATTTTTCACCGTTTCGCATTTTTTGTGTTCGGCGAGAAAAGGGGTCGAACCCAATCGCGTTATCGAGCCGCTTCCCAAGCTCTTTCCTTGTCAGTGAGGATGAAGCAACCCCTCCGTAGACACTCGATTAATCTTTGGTACGTTTCAGGAGGTAGATAATATAGAATTCTTTTTCTATTGTTATAAGAGAGCTCTCATTCTCTCTTTCTCTACGAGAGACGCGCACGACTGATAAGCGCACCACCACGTTTTCCTCTCGATTCCTTTTGGGAATTCCTCGCGAAGAAGAGGAGAGGGGATGAAAAACGACAGGAGAGAGAATCGCTTCCTTTTGAAATCAGCGCGAGTCCGCGCGAATGTTGGCTCTCACCGCGGGAGCAGCTCCGAAAGCAAGAAGTGACGAGAGATCGGCGGCGAGCGAAGAGAGAGAGAGAGAGTTTCCGCCGACGAAATTTTTAAAATCTATTTCCTAATGCAACACACTTTGAGAAAGTTGGTGCACACTTGCTCGGATGCGCGCGCGCGCGCGTGATAACATTCGTGATCGAATTCTCGATCAATCGCTCGGTCAGCGTTTTGACTACGACTAGATTCTAGATGATCGCGCTAAATTGGCGCTAATCCGTGATGCGATTACTGGTCCAGAGACTTGCGTGCAGATATCAGCGGGTTTTTTTTTGGGGGGGGGGACCCGTTCGCGGGTCCCGCAAATCGCGACGCTTGTAATATTTGTTTATGTAAATACTATAATATTTATTTTTTATCGTACAAGATTTCTTCGAGAAAACAATCGGTCGAACGAACGACCGTGCCGGATATTCCGTCCGGCATTCAACATTGAATAAACTTCTTAACTTCATTATACGAGATCAACGTGCCCACGGAAATATACATGGCTATAAATCTACGCTTATCTACATGATATGAAGCTTATCGAAAGCTCATTCGGAACGTTGCGAGACGTCTCCCGCCTTATCGTAGGTACAGGTAACACACTTGACAAAATAATGTTTATTTGATTTTTTTTTTTTTTTTTTTTTTTTTTTTTTTTTTTTTCGTGTTTTCTTTTTTTGTTCCGAAAGAGAAGGAGCGCTCTCTGTCAACGTTCTGATGGCGCGACGCTATCTCGATTGTGAAAGCCAGCGATATTTCGGCGGAGACCGATCGAAACAGATCTTTAGCGAGCGTCCTCAAAAATTAGGAACTCGCTCGATCGTAAAGGAAGCATCGACGCGTGCGTGACAAATAAGGATTACGCACTTTCCGAAAGCTCTTGTATATATTCACAGTTAGAGAATAATATTTTTTTTATTCACAATACGGTATATATTTCTTTAACTGTGGATTTATAAGAACGAATTTCTTCAATTGCGAAGTCGCAGTAACGAGTCACGGCTAACAACTTTGGTGGTTGATAAAAAAAAAAGGAAAACAAAGATTTGTGAAGAAATGTGATTGAACGCGGTCTAATGCAAAAAATGGTCCAAGTGTGGCCGCGCAAGTGAGCGATCGCTAATATATATATATAGTTGATAAATGTCCAATATTTCTCTCAGAAATAAAAAGTTTGATCCGACAATGAATGGTGTAGCGCGCTACCGAGAGAAGCATAGAAACGATTCTGATTTCGTTCGATTCAATCTTCCTCGAAACTCTCTTCGTTCACGAAGAGGCCCGCAATAATTTGACGTTGTCCGTTTTGTTCCTTCGTCTTTCCGGGATCGAATTATTCTCCCCAGAAAAGGATAGAACACTTCAGACTTGTCTTCCCCGACGAAAAGAAGAATACTCTCTCGTGGGTTCTTTCTAAGGCATGAGTGCGTTACATGTTTATCACTAT